GGGGGGCTCCGTCGTAGGCCTGGCTCAGGGCAATGGGGCTCCGTCCTAAGCCCGGCTCGGAGTAGCGGGGCTCCGTGGCAGGGCTGGCTCCGGCGCCCTGGAAGAGGGGGTGGGAGAGACATTGCCCAGTTCTGCGAGATTTCAGCCCAAAAGCCTCTCTGCTCCCTCGCGGCGCACAAGCGAGGGGGGGAAGGGGAGGAGGAGGCGGCTTAGCGAGGGCTTGCATCTCTCCCCCAACTCACACTGTACAAAGCCGCGAGCGTATTTGCGCCTTTTTTCCACCAAACGTAGGTACGAAGAAGGGACTTCTTCTCTGAAACGTTCATGACACACATTTTTCTAATGTTTTTTCCAAAACTGCTGGAAGTGCTTAAATCCCTTGGAATACCTGCTTAAATAGGGGAGCTTAGTTTTCCTACGGATTGCAAAGCATGTTGCAAATTATTTTCCCCTTGGATTTAACACGACCGAGATGGCTTCCTTCTCCCCTTAGCCCTCGCCCATCCCCCCGCAATTGTTAATATAGATAGCACCACACTTCGGGGGGAGGGGAAAGAAACAGGGCAAGAAAAGCTCAATTTCCCTGTAATATCTATCGACCTCCCACGCTCTTAAAATCATGCTTGTAAGTGACCTTTATTTCACTTTGACCGTTGTTTAAGGGTCGCTGCTTTCGATTGCAATTTACACAGGCATGTAAGCACTCAAGCTCTTCCTGGGCCACACAGCCTCCCCCCCTTTTAAAAATGCCAGATACCTGGCTGCATCAGCAGCATTGCCTCTGGCCTTGGATGCAAACTTCAGGCTGCTCTGGCCTGGCTATACCCCTGCACGGGCCTGCTGTCACTCATGGACTCTCTGCTACGGGTGTTCCTTGCAGGGACCACAAGTGTCCTGAGTATTGCTGCATTCGGGGTAGGAAGTGGAGGCACTGGTATGTCTAAAAGTAATCTATGCTGATGGAATGGTGACAAAAGTAAATCATTCAGTTTTCTTGCCCCAGTTATATGCAGCATAAAGCTCTAATTCTGAGACTTTGCCTAGATTTAATGTGTGGCTGTTGAAATCCTTAGTTCCACTACTTGTCTATGTTTTAGACACTAGGGGGTGAGTTAGATAAAAGCTTAACATTCATAACGCAGAAGGAAGGCATGATCAGTTCTTTATAAGAAAAAAAGTTTATGGTGCAGTTTATGCTCTGTTGAATATTGTCCTTGTTGTTTCTTGCAGGATATAAACACAGTAATGAAATCAAACCTTAACCACTCTTTCAAAATGAAATGTGATTTTGGTTGTAAGCCACTTCATGCTGGGTTTACACCACTGAAATCTGCTGTGGGGAAAACAAGACTGGAAGAATCCTGCCCCTTGAATTATGAGGAAAGCTTTTGTAAAAGTTGTGCTGAGGAGCATCAGAAAATACTCTTTAGTGACTCACACCATGCAGCCACCAGAAATCTAGATCTTGAAGATGAAGGAAGGCCTGTACATAACAAAGAAAACAAACAAGTAACTCAGAGACTTGATGAAAGGATCTGTGAAATGGAGGCACTGGAAAACAGTAAATTTCATGAGGACAGTGGTTATTCCTCTATGTTAAGTAATCAATACTCTGATGCAATAGAACATGAGGATAGTATACCTTTGGCTGGGAATCTCTGTGGCACACCAAAGCATTGTCTTACGAAAAACCAAAGTGAAGCACAGTTTTCAAAGAAGACTTTGTTGCCAGTAATCCATTATGAAGAAATGATTTGCTCAACTTTGAAAAAAAGTGGTAAAAGAAGTCTCAGGTCTTGGGCTGCAGTAGACAGAATTCTTTATAGGGGAAAGGTTGAACTTTGTAACCTAATTGGAAAGAAAATGGGATTAGATAGAATAGACATTCTTGCTGAACTCTTCCAAAAGAACTTGAAGCATGTATTAGCAAACATTTTTAGGCATCTCAGTGAGATGGATTTAATAAAGTAAGTATATTGATCTTTTTGTATTTCATTGTGAAATAAACAAACTAATCAGATGTGGCTTAGAATGTTTTAGATATGGGGCTTCTGACATTTACTCAGTGGTTAGTATTATGTATTAATATATTGAAAGATGAACTGTTAAGGTAAGCCATGATATATAGAGAGAATGTGTTTTTTCCCTAGAAGGCAAATTAAAGACTACAACTGTGAACACATCTCAGCTTCTGTGTGAAAGAAAAACATTACGTAGTTATTCCCATTATGAAATGAAAAGTTTTTGCTTTTCCTAGGAGGTAACTGATATGTTTGTATTGTCGTTGCAGTTTTGCCAAAGTCAGCAAAACATGGCAGAAGATCCTACAGGAAGATAAATGGATTTTCCAAATGTATAGTAAAGCTGTGAAAAACCTTTCTGTAAGTTTCTGCACTTTAACAGATATTTCAGGCCTAAACTAGTAGCGTCTTTCGGCTATTTCAGGACTCCTCCCAGCCTTAAGAGGTTGCAGAAGAATTTCTTAGATTGAAAACATTGTGACTAGAGTGTCTGAGTTTGTCCTGTTAGAATGCACTGTCTCAAGTGTTGCTAGTTACTTCACTGTCTTTGGAGCCCAAGGAGGTTTGACTGAGAAGGTTACCAAGGAGAGATGCAGATGTTCTGAAGAGCTTCCACATGTCCTATATTAGAGGAAGGCAGGAAGGGGAGAGGGTCAGTTTCAGGACTGCCTACTGGAGGCTCTCAGCAGAATCTTGCTTACCTCAGCGTCCCCACCGATCCAGAAGGGACAGGGACTGAGAGAAACCACTCAGCTAACTTTGTGACTCTGGTTCTCTGCTTATACTTTCTAGCAACAGTCTTTGAACTGTAGCATGTTGGCTACAGAAAACTGAAAACCTTGTTGCACTGTAAGCTATTCCTAATACTTATTTGTCCTATGAAATTAAAAATTCAAGATCTAACCACACTGGTCCATTGCACTTTATCAAGGCAGACTCTTTTAAAGAGTTTTTCTTCCCCAAAAGATGGAGAAACAAGGCTTAGGATCAGCCACAGAGTAAGGCAGTCAACTAGTTTGAATTTTATGTAGTATTATGTAGTGCTAGCCTGTCAGGGTGAAACAAATGGACACCACTGAACATTCATCCCATAAAGTTTGATTTCTTCCCTGCCATTGATTGCTTTTTTTAACCTGAACTGCACACTTAGAAAATTAGTGGGAGGAGTTTACTTCTCAGAAAGAAAACTTCAGGCATCCCTGTTCACCTAAAGAATTAAGAGATATTGCTTTGCAATTTAAAACATTGCAGTGACTAGCTTACATGCTCTGCCTAAATAATTACAATGTGTAAGTTGCATTCCATAATAGAAGATGGTTGGGTTTGATGGTCTGAACTAGGGGTCTGTTCTTTGCATTTATAACAGTAGTGACTGGGAAAGCTGAGGTAAAATCAGTAGCATACTGCTTGATATGATGCTTTATTATTGGAAACCTTCTAGCCAGGAGGAAGGATCAAAAATAAATTGTTAAATAAAAAGTATCAGGTAATTATTCTCAAATTTTATTCATACTTTTCTTTTCATTAGAATGTCACTAAAGCATCAGAGCCTGCTGCAACAAGGGAATACGTTCTTTACCGAGCGGCTTTAGCTTCCATTCAGAAAGCCACCCCACCAAACAACTTGAATAAGAAAGGCACCAGATCCAAGACATCTAAGAATCACAGCAGGCTTATGGAGTTTTCTGAGGTAACTGGTGATTTCCATTCATCTTTAATTTCTCACATGTTATCTGGCACATTATCAGCTTGTAAGCATATTTCTGAAACTAGTATCTCCAATTTGAAGTCCTTATAACTCTTACTAGTATGGCTGCCAGATTTTGCTTATTGAGGCTATTTTAAGACAATGTTAGAGAATGAGTGGAGAATATTCACACAGAGATGTTCTACATCTTTCCCCACCACCACCACCATCCCCTGAGTGTCTAGGTATCCTTGAAATGGCTTGGTGATTTATTTTTTTTTCTCAAATTTTGACTTGGATCAGACATGAAAAAGTTTAGTCATTTCCTCTTAGTTTCCATGGTCTTATAACGAATCACGTGTTTTCCAGATAAGCAGTTCCACAAAAACTGTCAATTTTGCTTCAACACTGATAGGCAATTTAAAAAAAAAAAAAAAAAAAAAAAAAAATAAAAAATGAAACAAACTAATATTTCTACAGTTCATTCTATACTTTTTTCCCCCCAACTGACGATCTGACATTAAAATGGGTTTTTTTTAGCTACATATTTGTAGTATGTCACATATTTGGAGTTGTCAACAACAGCCTAAGTTTCCTTTCACCTTGTTATTTTTGTAAGATTTTTTTTTTTTCCCCTCACATATAGGTGCAGGTCTACATTACAAGTGTCTTGTAAGACTCAAAAACATTTATTGAAATTCATTGTTAATACGCAACAGGTTCCCCTAACTAGGAAAAGTTTTATACTCCGGCTCAAAAGTCTTCTGCAAATTGGTGCAATAAGAGGAGAAGATATAATCACACGGGGAAGTTTGATCAAGCTGCTTTAATAATGCTGTATAGCACTTTGTAGCATTAGGAATCTGACAGTTTAGCTGTACACTGAAGTAGCAGTCCTTTTTTCTTGATAAACATATATATCTATACACACACATTTAGATTATAAAAACATTTTGATTTTAACAACTACAAGTGGCATAAGGTGTTATACATGTCTACAGTTTTCTAATGCTGAATGATTTTGAATGGTGGATCTGGTTTTGTGTCAAAAATGAATTCACTGGAGTGAAGTAGGAATTGCTTCCATTTTGTGTCTCAAGCAGAGTGCCCCACAGCTGAGATTTCTGGACACATTGTTTGCTTTTCAAAGATGTTAATGATTTAAATGGAATCAAATTTATTTTCTTTTTTTTAAAGTTAACTGAATCGCTATCCTTAAATAAGGTTTGAAGGATTCTGGAGAGAGGGATGTTTTTCTTACTGCTTTACATTTAGTCTGTCCTTTAAATTTAAAATTTAAATATTTTAAAATTGTCTTTGTCTATTCCAGTCCAAAGTACCGGCAGTTATAGACTAATCATTCCTGTTTGATCTCTGTGAGAATTTGATACAGGCAGAATTAGGCTAAATTTGTAATTTACCTCTCTGGAGTAGGAGAAGTTATAATATGTTTTGTGGCCCTTCAGTAACATCAGGGAATGTTTGGGGTGTGTATTTACCCTCCACTCATAATTTTCTTTATATGCTTTTTCTAACAGGCTGCCAAGACCTTGAAAAACACTGAAAGTCTTAAAGTCTGCCATCGCTGTGGCTCACCTGCAAAGTATGACTCCTACCTACAAAGAGCGATGTGCAGTCGTGAAAGTTGTGGCTTTGACTTTTGCACAAAGTGCCTGTGCAGCTACCACAGCTCTGGTGTCTGTATGAGTGGGAAACCAGTGAAACACAGCTCTAAGCCGGGGCCACTTCCTGGGACTAAGAAAAGCAAACAGAATCTACGGCGATTGTGATCTATCCATCCCAATACAGATTGTCAGATGTCCCATAAAAGTTTTTTTAGGATATGAAGTTAAAAAGTCCACCAAAAAAACCCCTCAAACAACAAAATGATTTCTGCTCTTCTATATTAAAAAAGGTTAATTTTATTATTCTGCTGTACAATTTGGTGATGTTGCAATTCCTAGGAATCACCACAAACACCCATTTTAAAAAAAGTCTTACTATTTATAAATATAAAAGAAAATTCTGGATATGGATTCTTAATAACATTTTAAATATTGTCTTAATTAGTCTATTTTGTTCCAGTCTTCCAAACACCCCACAGTAATATTGAACAAAACAAAGAAGTTTTGGCAAGTAGCCTTCCATGTGTAACCCTAGCAATTCTTGAATGTCAGAAGGAGGAAGTAAGCTGTGTTTTATTTAAATGTTTACTCTTGTTCAAAAGTCTTTTAAAAGCATTTATAGTGAGAATGTCAAGTGAGTGGAGTCCCTTTTAATATAAAATTATGAGGGGGTCTAGATTTTATAATTTTTTTCCACAAGCCTTTGCCTTTATTTTAAAATGTGAAAGTTGTCTGATGATTTACCTTATGTGAATCTTAAATTATCATTCCTCCTTCATTTCTTCATTCAGAAACTGCAGGTTTCCTTGAACAGAGGTGATACTCTTTCCAACTTGAAAAAAAAAGTACTGTATCTTGGCTATACTGTTAAAAATACTTTTTTTTTTCTATTTGTTTCAAAACATAAAATACATTTTTAATATTTGTATATATTTGTAAATACTGCTTTAAATATTATTCATGTTTGTCTTTGTAAATGTGAAAATAAATTGCTGTTCTCAACAACTTGGTTGGCAAATCTGGGCTTCCTATTTATCATCTTAAAAGATTACTTTTCATATTAGTTTTTCAAGTTTTCTAGTATGTGCTGCTTAAAAATGTTGATTCAACAAAGATCAAATCTAGTTTTGTGTTTAAAAAAAAAAAAAAAATCCATTCTCATGTTGTGTTCCTGTAGCTTATCTAAAGGCCCTTAGCAGTAATTGCTCATAGTTTCTGAACCAACAACCTATTCAATGAAAATTTTCTATTGGCTGAATTTATGCTGTTGCAGAATTAGCTCTCTGTCAGTAAAGTCTTTGTGATGTCACATCAAAGAAAGGCAAGCTTTCAAGAAAAGTAATTTTCTGGAAATGACTGGTTTGGGTGTGGTTTTTTCCTCATTAGTATTAAGTAGATAACAGACTGAGAAGGCAATTAAAGTCCTGCTCCTTGAACTGGGACAGCTTTTCCTGCACTTGTTAATTTTCCATTTGTGACAGTAGTGGTAAAAACAGTTGAGAGCAACCTCTAGCATTCTATTTTTCTGTGGAGAACTTAATCTCCCAACCTAAATCTGAGACTTAAAATAAGAGCCTGGCTGAGTTCTATTCAGAACAATCAAATCCACAATTCTTTTAAGTCCACTTATAGATATGCTCAAAATCTGAGAATGAAAGGTAGAATTCTTCTATCCTGTTATACCTTCTTCTGGTAATCTGACCACACCACCTTTACCAACCAGTGCAGAAAAATGGTGTTTTGGATAGGAAGTAACAGCCCTCCACTACTGGATGTTGGTGTCTCCAGTATTGTTCTGAGACATGGAAAAGGCAATGGTCAGGAGCTTGATATGCATGTAACCCCAGTTAATCTTGTTTGTAGGCTGAGCATGAGTAGGTAAGACATAAGCACAAGTTTGTTATAAAATTTTCATCTTTGTGTACTGAATTTCCCGTGTCCCAAAAAGCACAGATATCTTAATGTGATCTGGACAGAATGACCCTTTTGTACATTGATTTTGAGTAATATGGCACAGACATCTAATATGGCACAGACATCCACGCTCAGAGGGGTGTTGCAGAGTATGATACATCTTGAATTAAAATTTGTGTGCCTGTTTTTGAGCTGAATGTGGATGTTAAAAACTTAACAGGTTTACTGTTTTGGGTCTGGATCTTACTATCTGGGAACTATCCACTCTCTAGTAGGCCCAACAATTTGTACATGGAGAGAGTGAAGAATAGATGCTGCTGCTGGTTTTTTTTTTTTTTTGTGGTTGGTTCCTGTAGAAATTTATCTGCTTCTGCAGAATTTGGAGGAAAATTCCTTGTTACCTCCAGATAAGGGGGAAGAATTGGACTGCATGGCTTCAGTGGTCACAACTGGAGATGAACAATATGAAGAAACAGACATTTTTCACTATCTTCAGAGTGATAAGAGGCAACTATCTTTTATGTGAAACCTTGTTGGAAAGGTCAGATTACTTGACTTCTAAAGAAGATTTGGCCAGGCTGTAATGGGTCAGCTGCAAACCATTGTGGCTGTTTCTTCTTGCTCAACCACTTTTGTCTTTTCCTGATTCTCAGATCCTTTCCTACCAGCTTTAGTGTTAATAATCAGAATACACATTCAACATTGCAGCCTTTGACAGGTGGGTGACAGCTCTTTAAGAACCTTGACCTGTTACCAGTGCTTGGAATTTTCTTATACAAAATTTCTAAAGAGAAGCATGGGGATCTGTGGCAGCCATACAGCTATTTCATCCTTTATGATAATCTTTCCCAACAGTTGAAACCTTGCCCAACAATGCTGAGCACTATATAAAAACTGACCTGTATAAAACCTATGCATCTTACTGAAAGCCACATGGTTATCCGTGTCCTCATAAAGTTTCAGTGAATGGTGTATGTCAGAAAAAAACAGTGGACAATCAGTCCCCACCCAGGCATGCTGGCACTCACTGCTGAGTGAGACAGCAGCTTCTTATAGACAGTGAGGACATTGGATGTTAGTACTAGCAAGTGCCCCAACCAATGCTGAGAGTTGATTTGCATGCCAAAGGTGGGAACAAAGTAGTAGCTGCAGATTCTGCATCTGAGCCTATGTTGAACCTACCTTTGATATGTAACCAGTGTGAGTTGTACCTAGCACAAGACATAGCACTTGCCATATGGAGATGAGTCGTTCACAACTACTACAGCTGTGTTGTCAAAAAGCACTTTCAGACTCAACATTTGGCAGCCCCAGTGACATTGCAGGAACCTGATAAGCTTCTTATCCACGTTACATACGCCTTTCAGATCTACAGAGGGTGATAAATACCTGTAGGCTGACAGAGTCCTCTGTTTGGGTGCTGCAAGAGTACAGATTTCTCCCAAGTTACTTGCTTATCTCTAGGCGTGGCTTTGCATGATGAGGAAGGGCGGGATGTTTCCCTTGCTCTGTAAATTGCTGTGGCTAGCAGCTGTTCCCCCAGGCCTGAACAACTGTGGAGCCAGAAAATTCCTTAGCTTCATCCTGACCCTAGCTTGGAGGCAGGCAGAAGCAGGGTTTAGGACTTTCTGAAATTTATATTGAATATATGCATTTTGCAGCTCTTCTCTCTTGCACTTACAATGCTGTCCTGGAAAACCCAGGGAGCTGCTTGAGATGTTTACATCTTTCTGTAAAGCATTAAAGGCAATCATAGCTGTCCCACCACACCAACCAGAGAAACTGGAGAGCTGTCAGATAATGATGATCAATCTGATACAATCACTTGTAAAAAAAAAAAAAAAAAAATTTGTATTCATTTATCAGTGTAATTTATCCTCCAGCAGCACCCTTTGTGTTTTGAGGACTGAGGGATATGGAAAAAACAAAAGAGAAAAAAACCCAGCCCACATCTCTTCAACTTTTCAATTGCTGGCATCTTAGCACAGCACACAGCCAGGGAGGCTGATTTTTAACGCGTGGCAAAACTGCAGCATGTGTCAGTTACCTGTCACTAACCAAAGGCTCCACTGCAAAGAAGTTACATTTCAGCATGTTGAATGTTTTGTTTTACAATAAAAGTGTAAACCTCCAAGTTCTGGCAGTGCTCACTCTCAAAAAAGCTCAGAATATTTTGTGGTTAAAATATAATGTCCGCCCTGACTCACGGAGTTTAAAAAAAGAATGTAGATTGTTACAAGAATTCCCTCCCCACCTCCCAAAATATCTACTCCTGAAGCCAAGGGCTGACGTTATGCTGTACTGAAGATTTTAAAAAGAAAGTATGTTCTGGACAGGGAAAAACCACAAGATGGTGCTCTTGAAACACTGCATGAAGCCGGAGTCCTTGAATTCCTTCTTGCTGCGTTCATGGAGAATGCATTTCCTCCACCTCCTCTAGCTGTAGCTATCCATCTAGTTACTACTGGCACGGGTAATTGTATTAAATCTGCGATTAAAAGAACAAAACCCAAACCTTGAAGCCAATTACTGGTTTTAACATTTGTTTCAAGCTTATTTGTGTACATACTTGCTAAACTGATAAAAAACCCCACAGGTGCCTTCCATAAAAGCTTTATCCTGCTGCTAAAATGCACATGCATTTTAGGAGTGATTTGCTGCCCTAAAAACATAACATTTATTTTGCCTGCCTTGTGGACCTGTACTGACAAGTGGTGAGCAAAGCCACCTCTCCAAAGCGCTGGGTGCAAGCTGTCCCATCCAGCCCTCAGCACTGGTCTGGAGCAAGCAGCAAATGAAGCTTTGCCTGGGATGGGACATCCATGTTCCTGATCAGCTGAGGTTTGGTGGCTAACTCATCTGGCAACTGCTGTGGTATGGATGTGTCTTCTGGCAGATGCTAGTGGTGCTGACCTGCAAAATATGTAAGAGGAATAGCATAAGTATGTAAGGCAACTTCTCATACAGTGCCTCTGCTGTGGCTAGGAGGAGCTGGTGTCTGGAGCTGAAATGCCATTACCTGAATGCAAGGATGGTCTAGGCAATTACTGTCATAGATGCTGGATTTTGGAATACACTTGTCATGATAGAAAAGATTCCTCCTCTAATACATTTAAACTTTGGAGTAGAGGAGGAGTTACAGAGATGGACAACTGCTGGAATGTAAATCTTCACCTGAGGATGAACAAATTATCATGTTAGGTCCACTCAATTTACCTTGATATTACCTTGTTGGAGTAGTTTCTCCTCTGAATGAGTCCAGGGGAACATAAGGAGAGAGGGAACATAGTGCTGGTATTTCCAGAACAAAATAAAAGCAGCAACGGTCCACTTGAGCCTGCTGGCACATGCAGAAATAGTTGCAACATTCAAATAAAGGAATAGATATTCTTGTAGTGGCCACTGAGATGATTCAGCAACTTGAGGGTTTGTCCATTAAAGTTTAGTATTGCTTTGCTCTTTTCATCCAGAACTGCCCTCACGGTACCTCAGTACAGCACTCAAACAAGCCAAGGGCTTGGCAAATATCTTGAAAAATTCAGATGCAAAAAAATGCAATTCCCTATGTTTGCTGACTGCCCTGTAGGTTTGGTGCTGGAGGGGGGAGGAACGGACACAACGAGCCCTCCACAGCCCCCATCCCCCAGCCAGCTGCAGTGTCAGGGCCTTCTCGTGGCCCCAAGGACAGGCAGAAGGCTGAGGATGTCCCTGGCTGAGCAGGGGCATGGTTGGGGAGAGAGAGGGAACCCTACCTCTCCTCTGCTCTGTTTTCTGCCTCCTAAGTGCTGGGCTAGCTTTGGGGAGGCACCAGAAGTGCTGCTGTCCTTGAGGGGTGCAGCGGTGCCTGGCAAGGGGGAGCAGGAGGGCTGATGCTGGAGCAGGGGCTGTGCTGGAGCATGGTGGGGAACAGAGGAAGGGCTGGGGAAGTCAG